GAGGAAGGACTAAGAGAGTTGCCTGACCATGAGGAAGTATCCTAGGAAACACTGTGTGAACGATTTTACGTAGACGGTGAGTTTGGGAGGTTTTCTTAGCGCAGTTTGTCGCTGATGGTCCAACGGTCGACACTGAACAAACAGAAACGTACATGTTCTTGTGACCCAAGACCCTCTTCCCACAGACAAACAACACGGCAACCAGGGCAGAATCTCCCAGAGGGAGGAAATGAATGCCTCCTGTGTCCTCCCTGTGGAGCACGTGCTCTGGGGAAAAAGAGCTCATCGTCTTACACAAGGACGACTACGTCCTCCAAATTAGTCATCCGTACAATCGTTTTTATAAGTAGTAAATAGCATTTTACGACAATAAGTCTGTTATAATGAAAACATGAGCAAGTAAACAGTGTAAGCTGGCAATATACAAACCCACACCCATATCACACAGAAGTGGAAAATTGAAGTCAGGGATAATGGTAACGCAAGAGATATATACAGAGTGGTTCAAAAAGTTCATGGAAACATTCCATTACCTTTTCATTCCTTTTTATCACACACAAAAATTGAAGCCCCACATGTATGTACGTGTGGGTTTCTGTGTGTGTTACAGCTCGTAGCAAATGTATGGAGAGTTTTAGAGGCTTTCTAAGTCTTTAGGGGAGCAGACAGTCTCCTATTTCTCCAAACCCCAAACCAACCTCATCGCTGTCGAGTTGATGCTGGCACAGAGCCGCCCTGTACTGACCCTACAGAGCAGGACAGAACTGCCCCGTGAGCTGCCAAGACGATAACTCTCCACTGGAGTAGAAAGCCCTGTCTTTCTCAAGATATATATAAAAGATGATAGATATATGATAGATAGATGATAGATAGATAGATAGATAGATAGATATAGATATAGATATAGATATAGATATAGATATAGATATAGATATAGATATAGATATAGATATAGATATAGATATAGATATAGATATAGATATAGATATAGATAGAGCGAGCCAGGGTTTTTTTGGCGCAGTGTCATATTTTGTCTGGAAGATAATGTGCTCAGAAGGACTGGGTTGGAGCAAAGCATAGAGAAAATTTCAGGGGGAAAAGGATGAGGTAGGAAAACAACAACAACAGGAGGAAAGCTGCGGACCCCAAAGGGAATCCGACATTAACTTCGGTTTCAAAAAGACGTTGACATTCGTGAATTTGGGGATCGTCTTCTTGAGACATGGAAACCGGGGGTGGTGAGAATCTTCTGAAGGTAGAGTAACTGGGTCCGCTCAGTCATCTGTTCGTTCAGTACATATTGATGGAGCACCTACTGTGTTGACTCTGTGACAGGCGCTGGGGACAGACCTGTGACCCGGACACTGTTCTGACCTTCACCTGGACTCACAGTCTAACTGAGACTATGGAGAATCGCAGTACCTTCTCTTGCTTGTTTTCCCAATAGCCAACTATTTTATTTTCTTTATATAAAAATATAGTCAAGACTAGTGGAGGGAACAGCACGGTTTCCCTCCTACCATAACTTGACTTCCTAAACTCTATCCGAACAACTGGGGAAGGAATAAATTGGCTGAAGAAAGAGAAAATGTTATGTGTTCAGCAGACCATGACAAAAAATAGGGCTAAATAATTATTTGTAAGAAAATGGAATTACTTTTTATCAGCATACACTGAATAGCTTTCCCCATTGTGCACTGTTCCTCTAATAGCACTGGTTGCAAAAAGAACAATTCCTCACAATAGACAATACAGTGGGGGGGAGAAATTAGTCTCCTGTGTACAAAATAACACTTTTCATAACAATGGGCGATTCATGCCTGCTCTCTGTAGACCTTTGCTGAACAGAATACCAGCAGAGGCTAATTACCTGAGCTAGCTGAAAATTGTGTGCTTAATGGAAAGGCATCCCCCAAAGAACGGCTGAGGAAAGGTCTTAGCATCAAATATGAGACAACAGAAAAGCAAACGAAGAGACCGCAGACGCGAGAGCATACGCCCAGGCTTGCTCAGTTAGCACACTGCAGCTAACCACTCCGACGGATGCACGTGAAGGAGGGAGGAAATTCTCTGCCTGCCAAAAAGTAAACTCTATGATTCAAGGATTTTCCTTCCATGTGGATTCAAGTCCTTTTCTGCCATGTATAGATACTTACATTCTTATCGAGGATTTTTGTCCCATTGGGGAGTGAATACTGTTCATGTGAGAGCGGGAGGGAGTCCGTGTAAGTTTCACACACTGATTGGGTTGGACAGGGTCACCAAAAAGAGGTGCTGCAGACCTAACTTCCAAGTACCGGTCAATGTGACCTTGCTTGAAAATAAGGTCTTTGTCGATGCCGTTAGTTAATATGACATAGGGTGGATCCTCCTGGCGGAGCCTCTGTGTCTTTAAAAGAAGAAGAGATAAGAAAGAAAAGAAAGGACAAATAGCAGAGACACAGGCTCAGACTAACACAGAGGGAAAAAGATGGCTCACTAAAGGAGAGACAGAGGGAGGGAGGCTGCCTCAGACTAAGGAACTCCTAGAGCCACCAGACACCACAGGAGACAGGAAGCTTACTTCTCTTAGGGCCTTCACAGAGAGTACCCTGATGGCAGACGTTCAGCCTGCAGATCTGAGGGAGAGTAAACATTGTTTTAAGCCCACTCGTTTCTGGTGCTTTGTTATGCCAGCTCTAGGAATTACTTATCAACCACAGAGCACAGCCAGCATTTCACCAGGACAGTAGAGAAAGGCTGGTTTTTCCAAGCTGTGCTTTTTTGGCATCATTGTGCCAAATGTCTGAGATAAAAGGTACTTCAAGAGTCTGGGTCTTCAGCAGCAGGTTCATAAAAAGCCCCATTCACACCAATCCACCACACCGACCATCAGCAAAGAAAATGTCAGCATCAACATGACCAAAATAAGATGTGCGGTTCACCGCTAATTCATCGGCTACTTTACTTAAATCTATCCTGAAATTCAAGGGATTGACCGAGCATGGAAAGATGCATTTTCAAAGATGCTCCTGCTAGTCGATCGACAGTGAGCTCAGGTCCTTTGCAGAGGGCTGGAGGGACCACGCACAAAGGTCTTGAGGAATCCAAGTGCAACATTACCAAAGTAACAAAGCCATTGCCATCAAGTCAATTTGACTCCTGACTGCAGGGTCTGCTTACTAATAGCTATGCCAGGGATCAGTGGTGGTGCTGCTAGAAAATTCTTGTCCTCCATGTAGGAGACCTGGGTTTGATTTCTAGCCAATGCACCTCACACACTATCACCACCTTACATGTTGCTATGCTACTGAACACATTTAAGCAAAGTTTTCAGACTAGGAGAAAAAAGGTCTAGCAAGTCATATCCAAAAAATTAGCCAATGAAAATCCTATGGATCACTGTGAATAATTGCATAATGTCATCTCCTAGATACCCCTGGCCTGGCTCCATGTCATTCAAGGCTGTGTTTGGCTGAGTTTTCTACAGAAACAAAATCAGTGGCACACATATCTGTATAAGAAAGAACTTTAGATCAAGAAATATTTTTTTATCAAGAAAGTGGCCCAGACCAGTGCAAGTCAAGCCCATGGGTCAGCTGCTGACTGGAGCTCCCTTCTGTTGGAAGTTAAGCAAAACAAAACAAAACAAAAAATAAAACCAAGCAAAATGTAATAGAGCCATTCTTGTAATAAACAGAGCTAACAAACAAATTTGGGTGGGCAAGCTGAACTTACTCAAAATGAAGATACTAATAATTTCAAGAATATAGTTCATCAAGCTCAGACAAAGCAAGAAAGGCTGGTGGGGGGATCAATGTGACCCCCATCCTTTCTTTTCACGTTAAAGTCAGATTAATAGGCGAGGGCTCCCATGAGGCTCCTCAAATAGCAGGAATCTTAAATTATACAACGTCTCCCTTTTATACCGAGAGAGTGGGGCAGTCTCCGGGATGCCAGGCCTCATCTAGCCTGGATTCCAGTTTCTCTAAGTAACAGGTAGCCAGGGACCATCCTGCCAGAGACTTTCAATGCATAAGATCTCTCCCTTCCAGGAACTACCATAAGTATATCTACCCTGAGTGCCAGCTGAGCAGGAGATCGAATTAGGTCACCTCCTGAGGTTTTCTTTTCCTTGGGGGCATCCTCCCAGTCTTCCCATTCCCCCAGGAAAGGGGATGAATAGATTGTAGGCAGCTGCATAACTTCTTCTCACATTCATTTTTAGAATTCAAAGAGGGAGAGGTGTGTGCATACTTGCATGCATATGCCATGAGAGAGAGAGAGAGAGAGAGATAAAGAAAGTTAGAAAATGAAGAAATGTGGAAGAAAGAAGGTCAGTGGGTCATGGTTGCATGGACATGAGGAAGTCAGCTACATCTATTATTCTGTCCAGTCATTAACTTATGATGCAATTCACAGTGAATGAAACTCTAATCGCTCCCTTTGAGGGAGACAGCAGGCATAACTGACTGCTCCTATCCTTTCCCATACACAACATTTCCATGGAGTCAATACCTGACCCATAGCAACCCCATCGACAATGGAACAAAATGGTGCCTAATCCTGCTTGATTGATCATGGTTCAGATTGTTGTGATCCATAAGGTATATTTCATCGGGTGATGTTTGGAAGTAGACAAGGAGGCCTTTCTTCCCAGTCCATCTGGGTCAGGAAGCTCCACTAACACTTATTTAGCACCATTGCAGCACGAAAGCCTCCACTGGCAAAACAGGCGGTGATTGTGCATGAGGGGTACTGGTTGACCAAGAATAAAAGCCAGATCTCCTGGATGAAAGGCTAGAATTCGACCTTTGAGGCAGATAGCTGAGCCCTATGGTCAAGGTCTAACCTTGGTTTGCACTGTTCAGCCTCATCCACAGAGACTTTTCAGAGCTCAACTACCAAGCATATGCCTGGGTACCACTTTATTTTTCAAATGATGCTCAAAATGCGGTGAAACATTTTGAATGCAAAACTGTTATTTTTAAATGAAATGAAGTGTGAAGAGTAGAACTTACGCATTCATTTTATCAGATAAAGAGTCACTGTCATCTTGCAGATTTGGGCATTTTTCCGTCAGCTGGAGTGACTTCCCATTCAGATATGTGCTGTTTGATGAAAGAGATAAAAAGAAATTGATGTGAAATGAGAGCATATAAAACATTGTTAACAAAAAAAAAACAGATTTAATTGATAAAGGGAGCCTAAATGAAATTTGATTTTCATGCCATTATTGGATGTTTCCATGGCAAAGGAAATTGATATTTTTGCCTCAGATAGGTCTAAATTAAAAAAAAAAGTTTACACCATGGAGTCAAAGAGAAAATGGATCTACATTCAAGGTTTCACATTTTCAGATTTTCATGTTTACAAGGAAAGAAACCCTGGTGGCTCAGTGAGTAGTTGCCCGACTGTTACCCACACACTGGTGGTCTGGACCCACCTAGAGGTTCTGTGGAGTGGGACATGTTGATCTGGTCCTGTAAAGTTTACAGCGTAGAAAACCCCATGGGATCGTTCTATTCTATAACACATGAGGTCACTATGAATTGAAACGATGATGTTTCCCCAACATCAACCAAATTCATTTAGAAAGAACCTTCTATTAAATAATTTTAATCATGACGCATATCATTTAAATCAGTTGCGAATAAGTTGATTACATTGATTAGGGTGTATGGCAATCCTATGTGTGTCTCAGCAGTACTGTATTCCCTAAGGTCTTCAATGCTGATTTCTCAGAAGTTAATTGCCTTTGGGGGGACTCGAATCTCCAACCTTTCTTTAGCTAGCCTACTGAGTTCACCGAGACTTAGCCCTTCATTGTACAGATGAGCTCTCTGATGGAAAGCATGGACATATGGTATGTCTCTCCATAAAGACTCTCTTCAAGAGGTAGAACCAATAGGCCTGAAGGACAACGTATTGGCTGCATTGAAAGCATTAGCGCAAACCAAGGCTCCAGGAATTGATAGAATGCCAATGGAAATGCTTCAACAGCTGATGAAGCACTGGAAGCATTCACTCATCGATGCCAAGAAATCTGGAAGAAACCTATTTGGCTAAATGATTGGAAGAGACCCATATGTGAACTCATTCCAAACAATAGTGGCCCAACAGAATGCTCAAATAAAGAACAATATCACCAATGTCGCATGCAAGTATATTACTTTGAGAATTAAGATGTGCCTAATCTAAGTCATAATATTTTTAATAACTTCCTATGCCTGTGAAAGCTGACATTGCATAAGGAAGATCAAAGAAGAATGGATGCATTTGAACTATGGTGTTGGTAAGGAATACTGAAAGTCCCATGGACTGCCAAAAGAACAAACAAATCTCTTTAGGAAGTACAGCCAGAATGCTCCTTGGACGCAAAGATGGGGAGACTTCATCTGACGTACTTCGGGCAAGTTAACAGGGGACAAAAGTCTGTGGAGAGGGACGTCATCTGGGGAAGTGGAAGGACACCAGAAAAGAGGAAGGCCCTCAAGGAGGCGCTCGGGGTCTCCAACAGTGGGTTCAAACCTGAGGACATTTTTATGGGGGCACAGGTCGGGCGGTGTTTGTTCTGTTGTACACAGAGTTGCCACGCGTTGGAAATATTTGGATGGCACCTAACAGCAACTCCATAAAGGGTGCACAAGGCACATCTTGCCTTTGGTAATCCAAAAGCTGTAAACTTTTGTGCTTTTTAAAATTAACTTGCAAAATTGGAGTTGGGGAAAAAACAAATCAAAAAACATAGTTAAAATCGTGGGTTATGCGGCTGGTGTGCCTAATGAAATTCGTGGACATAAGAAGGTTATCTAATGGCTCCATTAATCACTTTCATATCTCTAAAGGATGGATTATAGTACATACCTCATCGTGTTAATGTTACATTATGTAAAACAACACTATGTACTTGACATTATGTTTGTCATATTAGTGTTCAAAAATAGCAACTGCATTTTCCTTATACTTTAAATATCTATAACTCTGACTTACTATGTATATCACATTTTCCAATTACCTCTCCCCCCCATCTCCAAATACATGTTGTAATCCTAACACCTGCATGTGTGGATATAATCTTGTTTAAAAATAGTTCTTCTGGGAGAGGGCTATCAGTAATGGTTGTACAACACAAAGAGTGTAATCAATGGCACTGAATTATACATGTAGAAGTTGTTGAATTGGAGAATGTTTTTTTGTGTATATTTTTGCCAATATTGAAAAAATTACATGAATATCAATGAGTACTGGGGAAAAGAAAATTATAAAATTGATTGTGGTAAAGATTGTACAACTCTTGATAGGAATGAGCTATTGAATTATATGATACGTGGATGTAATGCCAATGAAACTGTTTGAAAAAAGAAATAGAGTTGTTTTTATGCTAATTAAATCAAGCCCCAGTAGGGTGGATTCCAAATCTAATCACTTCTGAGTTATAAAAAGAGAAGATTACATGGCCTTTCTTGATGCTCATCCTCTGGAACAGATCCCTAAAAAGATGGGTGCTAGAGCAAAATGTGGCGAACAAACCAGACAGTGCCCAACTATCAGAAAAAATCGTGTCTGGGGTCTTGAAGTGCTGTCTTAAACAAGCACCATCTCGGCGAGGCATCAACTAAGTCCACATGGAAGAAGTAAACCACCCTGCGTGCTACAAGCATTGTAGATGATACATTACAAGCACGAAGGCAGGAAGGGCATCAGAGCTTCCCTTGTGAGCATCTGACTCGAGCCCACAGTGGAAACTCAAATCCATGTGCAGGATGCACACCTGGGCTAAACTTCTGGTCAATCTCTTGGGACTATAGTCCAGGGATGTGAATAGCCTTGTTACCAAACAGAGAGCAGTAGACAGTCAATTGTGGAAGATGTAGTTAGGGCGACACGTAATCTCATTTGGTCTCTCTTTTGATCCATTTTAAATCTGTTTCAATTTAAAAAAAAGAAGTGAAGGGGGAATACAAGTGGATTAAGCCTCCAGAGAATTCCCTGGTATGAGAGACCAGGAATATTAATTGTCCTGCTATGGAACAGATTGCATTCAATTATTGCAGTTGCCATTAGGTTAAACTTTAACACTTTATTATTTGATCTCCCTTTTGACCCACTTTGTTCTAGTTTTTAATATTTTCTTTCTTTTCAATTGATGTTCTTTGTTTTACTTCGTTATTTTTGGGGGGAGGTGTGTTTTTCTGTATATGGAATCCGGAATACGTAAATCTATAGATACAGTAACTAAGGTTAATAGTTTCTTGGGCGTATGGCAGGGGAGGTTGGGGGAAAGAGGGACCAATAACAATGAGTCCAAGAAAGAAGAAATGTTCTAAAACTGTGGTGATTATTGTACAAGTCTTCTTAATATGATTGAACCATTGAATTGTGTGCTATGTGAATTATACACCAATACAACTGTTAACAAAATTAAAAGAGCAGATTAGACAGGCAGCACATACCAGAGAAGGCAGGTGCACATGAGCACCAAGGGGTGGCTTGGACTGCCACCAAGGAAGGAATCTACATGGCCAGACCCAGATTTGGACTTTTAGTCACTAGAACTAGGAGAAAATGATGTTCTGCTCTCGAGTGACACACATTTATAATAATTCTGTTACAGCAGCTCTAGGAAACCCAAACTGTACATCACCCTAACACACTTATTTAATCACCCTGAAGATATTTATTGAGAGCCTCTGTGATGGTTCGATTTAATGTCCACTTGATATACCTATGTGAACATATGGGTGGAGTCCAATCCCTCAATGAGGATTCATCACGAATGATATGGCCTTGGGGATGTAGCTTTTTTGCAAGAGAGATACTGAAGAGAACTGGTTTCTCTCTTTCTCTTCGCCTTCCTGCTTGCTGGGATTCTGCATCTGCTGCTGGAGCCAAAACCAGTGACCCCTGCGCCATCCTTGGGAGTTGTCAGTGCCCTTCCATGTTCCTTTGGACCTTGGATCCACAGGACTCTGCACCCACTGGCCTGTGATCTCCCAGTTTCTCACTCCATCTTCCTGCAGCTTCACGAATCTGAAAAAGGTGCTGGCTAACATCTGACCCACGGACATGAGTTGGACTGTGCTGGACGGCTTTCTTTCTTTTTTCGGGGGAGGGGGGAGGCGGCTTTCTTGATATAAAGTTATTTTACATATATGAGTGTCACTGGTTTTATTTCTCTGGAAAACAGTCTAATTCAACCTCAAACGGGTCATGGAGCCAGGCACAAGCTATATAGGCAATGACATTAGATAATAATGAGCAGTGACCACGCATTTATTAAAACCAAAGGGCAGTGGATTCAATGGGAGAGCGTAATGGGGACAACTCCATCCAATCTGTTGGAAGACTTCAGAGCAGAGCTTGGAACCAGTGCTTTTAGGTTTGAAACCCAGCTGAGAATTTGCTTTTCCACGCAAGATATTGTGATTCCATACCAAAATATCAACAATCTTTTTCTTGGTTCAGGATATCTGGGGTGGAAGAGCTAATTCTCAACAAGGGATTGAACCAGAATGAACCAAAAGCTCTACCTAAGCACAAAAAGAGGTCTCCCAAGAAGCAGAAATTCTGCCTCACAATTGCAGTGTAAACTCCCCCAGTCTCAGCTTGCCGGCCTGTGCTCTCTATTTTAGACCTAAGACTGTAACATCAGTCCTTGCCTGAGTTCCCAGCTGCTGCCTCTCCTGCAGATTCCAGACTTGGGAGCTGCCACAATGGCATGAACCAACATCTTAAAATAAATGTGTGTGTGTGTGTGTGTGTGTGTGTGT